GACACCTCCCCACCCCCAACTATGACAGACAGCCCCGGCCAGCCACCAATCAGGAAAGACAATCGCCTACAAGTGTTCATGGGAACTGAGGGGCTCGCAGAATTTGGGAGCCACCGAGTGAAATACCCTGTTGGTGTCATGGAAAGGCCCTTGTGTATGCGCGAGAGGCCTGCCACTGACCCGGCCGAAGTCCCACTTGAATTCCAAGAAAAGGCCTCTGAAAAGGGGACCTCCGATCTGGGCAACCGTTCATTTTCAAATGCAACCCCAGTGGCCTTGTGCACCTAAAATAGGGTGAACCCACCGATCCGTAGACACAAAGGAAAAGCGAGGGGGTGAAAGGGGGGGGGGGGGAGTGCCCTGCAGGCCCGATGGTGGGTGAAGCAGAGCCAGAATGAGACCAAGTTGGGGACATGCAGCAGTCTGCCTCCTGTCTTCAGAGCCTAGGCCAAAAGCAGCTCTTAGGGCTAGCCCAGGTGTAGTTTGGGATTTACAGATTTGTTCTCGGTGGAGGGGAGAGTGAGGGGAGCACTTTATAAAAGTGACCTAAGTATTTTGATTCTCTGGCAGATCGAGGCACTGGTTAGCTGAAAAATAAACAGCTGAATGAGAAAGCATTGAAACATAATCACAAGTAGGGAAAACTGATAAAGATTCTTAGGTACCAGAATATCTGATGAGACAAACTGCATTTGGTAGATCTTTTCAGCTCTCAAATAGATCTTTGAAAGATTTCACTTTGTTCCCTAAGGAGAAGGATTAGTATGAAAACAGATTTTGTAAATGCTAACAGAACATGTTACTGAGGCAAGAAGCAAGCTGACAGCAGCAGGAGGAAATAACTCGTGACTGTTTGGAACCTACACCATAGTAAATTTGCTATTTTTAGTATAGAGAGAAAGAGGGTGATTTTTGGTGCTGGATTTATTTTAATTTTAAAGATTGACCTAGTAGAATTTCTGTGCAAACATCGCGTCTGGATGTAAGGCCCTTCCCTGACCCAGGTCATCTCTCTTGCCTTGTCTGGAGCTAACAATTTCTGTCTTTTGAGACGTTGTAACGTGGTTAGTGTCCTGGTTTTTATTTATTTAACCACTTGGTTACAACATGTTCTTTGAGATTTTATACTTCACTAAATTTCTGAGGCATTAAGTGGTAAAACTTGGAAGAACTTTTTTTGATTCTGGTTTCAAGAAGGCTTTTAACCTGACTAGATAAAACAACATCACGGTGGCCGTTTAAAAAATGCAAGTTTGTTGAACCAAGCACAGTTTAAAAAAAAAGAAAACAACTATTGATTTCTTTTTCCTCCATCATGAGGTTAGCTTGAAAACTTTTGCAACTGTTTTTATGGACATGAGTTGATTTAGAAGAGTGAATCCTACAAGTTGGCCAGGTCTTTTTTACACTGTATCTCTCCTGCAGCCAGACTGTTGATCTCCTCATGCAAGAGTCAGGATGTCGTTTAGAACATCCTTCTGCCACCAAATTCCGAAATCATGTCATGGAAGGAGACTGGGAGAAGGTAAAGTAGGGCATATAGAGCTGTGTGACTGCTGCTAAAATTATATATTGGAATGTGCATTTTGTGACATTTTTGTTTTTCTTTTATGCCAATTTTTGCAGGCAGAAAATGACCTGAATGAACTAAAGCCTTTAGTGCATTCTCCTCATGCTATTGTGGTAAGAGGCGCACTTGAAATCTCTCAAACGTTGTTGGGAATAATTGTGGTAAATACACTTTTGTTCTTAGTTTCACATTCATGCTTATTTTAGTAGGTTATTGATAATTCTAGGCTTCTGCCTCTTACAAAAGATAAGGCAAAAGAAAATAAATTTCATATAATTAAGTTTGTAAACTAGGATGAGTGTTGATGATGCTTTAAAGTTTTGCCTTTTTTAAAATCATGTTTAGTAAATGTGTCGTCTGAACCTACTTTATAAGTTAAGCTTCTAGAAATTAATTGAAAGATCTTCATGCTTTCAGTACTGTTAATAGCAGTTTTATATTTGTGGAATCAAAGATAAATTATGCTTTCACATTATTTATACTGAACGTGCTGGCAGAGGAAATGTATTTGGGTGTGTGTATCCTATAGCCTTAAGTAGCTGATACGTGAATTGTCCTGGTTTGGCTTTGTTTTTTTAATCTTTGGGAATTACAGTTAATTCAAAGCAATTCCTTTGGTGTGCTCACCATTTTCCACTCTTGCATTCCAGTTGTGTGCACTGACAGTGTCAAAGTGTGTATAATATGGATCGCTCTGGTGGAGGGTTTGTGTGCAGATTTGACCACTGGGCTGTGCTTACAGGCCGTATTTCCCCAACAAGATCAGTTCAGTAGTCTAACCTATTAGCTTCTTTCATAAATCTTGATGAATCTTTTCTGCTGATAGGCTTTAATTCTTCTGAAGATGTCGGTGAGGGAGAGGAGGGGGGATAAGTTTTTCTAAGTGCCTGCGATTGGAAACCATGAAGAATCAGCTGCTGGCTGCTGGCCTTTTAACTTCGAGCTGATTCATTTGTTGTCAAAAGCAGTTTCCTGTCTGGTGGGGGAGGGAAAGAAGGCCAATAGGAAGTCAAGTAGGGAAACCAGCTGTTTGTTAAATATTAGTAAATGACTACTGTTACCTTTTGATTTTTTTTTTTTAATTGGGTCAAACATTAATCTTGCTGCCTTTGTAAACCTAATAGAGCCTCTTGTTCTTGTTTTTGGGGTTTTTGTGGCCAGGGGAATCTTAATTACAAAAGTTTTCAAATTGATAATATATAATCCTAGAGAACGGACTTCAGGCGAATTGAAGGTGCAAACAAGTATGAACAAATATGGATTAATGTAAATTGATGACTTAATATATATATATATTTTGCTTTCAGTAAACATTTTAAAACTAAAAATTTTACTTACTGTGGAATCAGATGATTGATAATAAATTAACTCATGGAATGATCAATTCCATGCTAAATATTAAAAAATGAAAACACAGAAGTTAAAATAAACATCTACATTTGAAAGGGTTATACATTTCGCAGCAACTAAATTTTTCCCAATCAGTGTGTTTGGGGTTTAAAAAAAAAAGAACCTAAGTATATTTTAATTGGGCAGTTTCTCATAAATAAATAGCTCTGACAGAATGGAAAGCTGACCCTAAAATACAGACAAAAAATAAGTGTGTGAGTTTTGGGAGGATTGTTTGCCTTTTTTTTAAATCCTCACTTCAAATTCTCTTTGTAATTAGGTAGTAAAAATTAAATAGGGTCACTTCCTATTTTTTCTTAATTGTTCACAGAAATGTGGGGCTTCTGTGTTGGATTTAGATTATGACTACCTCACCTGAAACCTTCATTAGAAGCAACGTGTAAACTCGAGAGGTAGTTGTAGATAACGAGGAAGAGTCCTTTCTTTTTACAGCCTGTTTGGTCTATAGAACATTGCAGCATCTAATAAAAGATGAAGGTTAAATCTCTGGCTGAGCCTTGCACCATCAAACTGTTTAGGTATTTGTACAAAGAAAGGGGCTCTGGGTTTAAGATTCAGTTCAGCACTTTTTCCCCCTTCTAGTTTCTGTTCAGATTTACTCCTCTCCCCCACTCCATCTCCAGAAGAGAACCCCAATCCCAGGGTAGCTGTGATAATACCATAGAAGACAACTGTTTGGGACTTTTTTATTTTTTACATAATTATTTTAATTGTACACCCAGACACATTTGATGACTTGATCAAAACTAAAATTATATTTTACTTTTTAAGCCCAAACATTTTTATTGACCCAATTCACTCTCTGCTCTCCCCCATATTTCTTAATGGTTTCAAGTCAAATGATACCATGGATAGCAGAATTTGCTCTGGATTTTCTGGAAAGTGAGCTCCTGAATCAACATTTTTCAGTTTGGGGTCAAATGTGCTTTACCACCTTGGGAGTTTGGATGGGTAGTAGAGGGCAGTAACATGGGAAACTCCTCTGTGTAAAATTTATATTTATTTTTTAGTATAATAGAAATGTGCTTAAGAAAAGTTGTGTTCAAATGCTAATTTCAGGACAAAAATTAACTACTGTCTTTTAAAGTTAAATAGGGCTTTGAAAGCCATAGTTTAAATATAATTCATTTCCCCTTTCCTCTGAGTCATGGTTTAATTGATCCAACTTGGTTATAACCTTATTGCAGAGTTAGTCAGAACCACTCCTGAGTTAGCTGGGAGCCTGCCCTGGATAGTCTGTCTAGCCTCGGACTTTTCCTTCGGTGGCAGTCAGGACAGTTAGGTGGGAGGAGAGGGTACAGCGGTCCCAATATTGGGCAGGATGGGAGGCGACAGCAAGACCTACCATGGGGAGCTGTCTTTCACAGTCCTAATGGGTAGTAAGAGACAGACAGGCACCCTGGGCCGAAAGACGCTGGGAAATTATCAGGGAACAGAAGTACTCTCACAGAGGTCTCATTAGGAGCTGGGAAGAGCTGTAAAGGTAGCAATTTGTTCTCTCAGCCTCTTTCTTTTTTTTCTTCATTTAAGAAGCTTGTGATCTTTAAAAAAAAAAAAAAGTTCATAAGGCTCTGTCCCCACCT